TGCTCTTGAATTAACCCTCTGACATCATTCCCTGAGAACTGAATCAGGGCCCCGTCAACAATGAACACCAGGCCCTTCTTGGCTGGGAGTCAGGCCCAGAGCTTCAAACCCCTCCGCAGCTGCAAGCCCATGGAGGCCATGATTGAGGCCCATCCTGTGCAGGGTGGCCAGCACTCCTGAAGGGCTCTGTTGTCTGAGCCTTACCTACAGCTGAAGAGATAAGAACCTACAACCGAGGCCACAGGAAATGACAGAGCGGTGACTGATCGGGGGCCGCAGCGCGCAGGGCTCATTATGGCGCTTGCCAGCGGGCGAGACACCCTTATCAGGGAGAAAATTGCATCAGGCCTCCTGAATTACTAGCGATTGGGAACAGATTTCTTGGGATGCACTTTGTTAGATACCTAATGAGCAGGATACAGGCGGGCAGAGCCCAAAGCCAGCGGGGCGAGGGACAAATGTCTTTGTTAAACAGAATTTGTCAGCTTCCGCTCCAGGCTCCCTGGGGAGGGTTCAGGGCCAGCTAATTGAATTAAGAGCATGTGCGCTCCAGCGAGAAGACTGGGGCGGGGCGAGAGGCAGGCGGGCCTAAGGCTGGCGCTTTCAGCACCAGGGACAGCAGCTGCATCCCGGCGAGGCTGTAATTGCCGGGCCGGCTGAACTGCTGCATTTTGCATGATCCGGGATCTGGGGGCGGAGTGGGCAGAAGGGAGGCCAAGGATGCTGAGGGGAGGAGGAAGACAGGTGAACCAAGAAGGCTGAGGCCTGTGATGTCATTGGCCTGGTCTGTTTCAACCGTGAGGGCTGGGAGGTGTGAGGAAGAGTGTCTTCCCCATCCACGGCACCCACGTGTATGGGGGGCAGCTGCAGCAGTGCAGGGAGTGGGGGCAGGGCTGGATGCTGGTCTGAAATAGTGCGTGGTTGCGCATCGCTTGGGGCTTTCAAAGTCGGTCTCCAATTACAGTCCTAATGAAGCAGGACACACTGCAACCACGGAGCCATGAAGCTGAGGCCACTTGTCAGCCCCAAGCTGCCCCAGCAGGCAGGGCAGGCTTGCCAAATAGCAGAGCAAACAGGCAGGGCGGTGGGGTGGGCCAGAAGCCCCCACCCCACCTGGAGGAAGGGGGAGAGAGAGGAAAAGGCTGCGTTGAGAAAGGGGTTGTACCCAAGCCTCCACCCCCTCCCCATCCTCCACCCTGGCCCACCACCTCCAGCAGCCTGCCCCCCCCATCGGCTCAGACAAACTCCCTTCCTTAAGGAGTGAAGAGACTGGGGCATAATTCTCTCCCCAACGTGTGGACCGGCTGAAGCTGGGAGTCACAAGGCAATGCTGGCCCTAAAGAAAGGGAACTATTAGAGAGAGTGTAGACTCTTGGGGGTCCCACACCTGACATGACAAAAGCAACTGCCTCTGGCCTCCCCTACAGGGCTGGCACTGTTTAGAGGTCACCTACCCACCTTGCCTCCAAGCCCAGGGCCAGGATGGATCTGGGCAGGGGATGAATGCGGCAGGCACGGGAATGTGGGTGGAGACCTGTAGGGTGGGGAGGCTTGGGCATGATCATCTGTGGGAGCAGATCCAGGGCCACCTGGAGTAGGACAGGGCAGAGCCCAACCACTGAGTATGGCAGGGACTAGAGGAAGAGCAAAGGGGGAAGGATGAACAGAGCAGGCTTAAAGTCCACAGATGCTCTGCCCCCTCCCCTGTCTCAGAATAGCCCCGCCCACAAAAGGTGGCAGGGGAGCTGGCAGGGAGAAGGGAAAAGGCTCTTATCTGGAGGGGTTGGTCTTATCTTTATTTTAGTCTTGTGATTTCATTAAATGAATTATACATAGTAGATTTCAGAATCCCCATGAAATACCCACTGAGTGCCCAGCTCTGACCAGGGGCTCAGTAAATACCAGCTCTGGGTCCTTGGGTTGATCCAGCTGGTGCTGGGTGGCCAACAAAGAGACAGGCTGTGGGGGAGGGGCTCCCTCAGCAATTGTCCTTGCTCTCGGCGTTGATGGGGGCACCTCTGGAGACCTCTCCCTTGATTTCATTACTTCCACTTCCTCCCCTAACTGGATTAGGCGGCAGTCTATGAAATCCAGGGCATCGAGATTGGCTTTCTGCCTGGAAATGAGGAGAAATGTCATTACGGGTCCGGAATCAGCATTGCATCCCAACCCCAGGGGCCACCTGGTCAATGGGGAGGTGGTCTCTGCCCTGCAGCTATTCCTTTCTTCATACCCTCCTGCATCCATCCATCCATCCATCCATCCATTCATCCATCTGTCTGTCCATCTGTCCATTCACTCATTCCATCTGTCCATCCATCCATCCATCTAGCCATCCATCCTTCCATCCATCCATCCATCTGTTCATTCATCCATCCATCCATCGATTCATCCATCCATCCATCCATTCATCCATCCTTCCATTCATCCATCCATCCTTCCTTCCTTCCTTCCATTCATCCATCCACTCATTTATCTATCCGTCCATCCACCCATTCATCCAATCCACATTTTGTAGCTTTCCCTCTGCACCCCATCTGGTGTTCAGCTGTTCTGAGCTGGGGACAGATGTGATGCTTTTTTCTATCTAGACACAACCAGAAGAGCCCACACCATCTGACTCAGATGCCACACCAGGTGTCTTCACATTGTGGGGAGCCTCCTGTCCTCCCTGAACCACAGTTCCCAAGAGGAGTGGGTTAGGGGCTGAGGGAGACAGCCAGGCTGATGCCTACAAGTAACACAGTCCTGAAGCCTTGGTTATGAGGTGCAGAAGGAGCTGCCAACATCAGCCTCAGGGCCACCCAGTGTTGCACGTGTCCTATCTCAAGAGTCTTGTCATAGCTGCCTTCTCTCTGGAAGAATCTATCTTCATACCAATTTGGCATGGGTGGGAGGAATGAGGCCCGGACTGGACTGCATGCCCCTGTGTCCTTGTGCACCTGTCCCTTACTCAACAGCCTGAAGAAGTTTTGTGTGAGTGAATTTCTATACACCAAATGTTACTGGAAAAGAGCATAGAGGAATAATTACTTAAAGAAGCTCAGTGGCACAGTGAAGGGTCCTCGTCCCGGATTCAGCCAGTTTGTACATGTGGACTTCTGTGGAGAGCACCCAATTAAAGAGAGCCCTGCCTGCATGCCTCCTCACTTAGGGTGCTCAGGGTCACCTCTAGCCCCAAGTACATCTGTCCTCATTGGCACTATGCCCGCTGCTCTGTTTACTTCCAGCACAACACTCCAGATAGTAGAATAATTTGCCTGTTTGTGACCAGCAACTGGTGCAGATGGGCCTGTCTCCCTTTTGGGGTCCCCACAACCCCTGAGACTGCACAATTCTTTGAACAATGGGCACATTTCAGGGATAACCATGGATTACTAGCAGAGTTTTTAAGAAACCTCTCCCCTGAGGGGCCATAGACATGTCTATGAGCCCAGGGAACTTCAAGTTGTGTGGGAAAAAGACAAAAATAGCAGGCATGTCTGGAATTGGAGAGCAGAGTGAAAACACAGATAGCTGATTGCTGGGTCGGAAGAACCTAGAGAAGCCACAAACAAGTGCAAGCTGAGGCAGTGAGACTTTGGGGAGAGTGGGACTGGCATTCAGGTGGGGTCAGATTTAGACACACAGAGGTGAGAGTGATAGTTATGTCAAGGAAGAAGGCAAACAGGAAGAAGTTAGAACAGGGAAGGAGTCAGAGGTGCCTCAGAGGACACAGAAAAAAGGAACTGCTTAACGGGTGATAAGACAGGAGGCCAGCCAAGATGAAATGGAAAATGTCTGCACAGCAAAGGGTGTCCAGAGAGTACAGGATTTTAGAAACTATTGCTACTGCATCAGAAGAGGGGTGGCAGAGATGATATCATTCATTCATTCTTTCTTTCTTTTTTTTTTTTTGAGTCAGAGTCTCACTGTCACCTAGGCTGGAGTGCAGTGTCATGCTCACAGCCACTGCAGCCTCTACCCACTGGGCTCAGGCAATCCTTCCACCTCAGCCTTCCAAGTAGCTGTAACTACAGGTGTGCACCACCACGCCCAGCTAATTTTTTTTATTTATTATGGAGACAAGGTCTCGCCATGTTGTCCAGACTGGTCTCGAATGTGTGGGCTCAGGCAATCCTCTTGCCTCAGCCTCCCAAAGTACTGGGATGACAGACATGAGCCACCACACCATATTTGTTTATTTATGTATTTAGATAGTTAGTTGATTAGCTAATTATTTGGAGTCAGGTCTCACTCTGTCACCCAGGCTGGAGTGAGTGGCAGGATCATGGCTCATGACAGCCTCAACCTCCTGGGCTCAGGTGATCCTTCCACCTCAGCCCCCAGAGTAACTGAAACTATGGGCGTATGCCACCATGCCCAGCTAACTTTTTTTATTTTTATTTTTTGTAGAGATGAAGTCTCACTATATTGGCCAGGCTGGTCTTGAACTCCTGGGCTCAGGCAATCCCTTGGCCTCAGTCTCCCAAAGTGCTAGAATTACAAGCATGAGCCACCATGCCCAGCTCAACAAATGTTTATCAAGCACCTACAATGAACCAGACACGATGGCTAAACAAGGTCCCAGCTCACCTGGGACTCACATCCCAGTGTGGCCACTGGAAGACAGTGGCCGCTAATAAGTAAACCCATTTTTTGGAGTTCATTTTCTTGTGAAGTAAGTCCTATGAATGGAGTCACATGAGATAATATGAACAGAAAGCGTATTGGAAGCCAGGTTACTTAAGATAGTGTGGTCTCTTTCTCGAAGGGCAGGGGCTCTCTGAGATCACGTCTGGGCTGAGATCTCCAGATAGAAAACAGCAAGAGCCAAGGCCCTGAGGCAGGAATGAGCTTGACTTGGAGGAACAGCAAGGACCATGCTACTGGGGCCCAGCAAGCATGGGTGGCAGGAGGAGGTGTCCAGGGCTGGCGGGAGGGGAAGCTTGGATGTGGACAGTGCGCCCTGCCCATGGTGGAGGGACCTGTCCAAGTTTCCCTGCACCTTCTCTTTTCAGAGGCCAGAAGGCTTCCTGACACCAAACAATAGCAAGGCTCTGCCCACCCTGGACCCCAAGATCCTAGATGAGAAGCTGGGAGCCATCTGCGAGTCCTGGTCCGAGGCCACAGCCAATTCCTCAGTGGACTCCAGTACGTCCACCTCTCCGGGAGCAGAAGAGGAACTGCCTAGGCCTGAGACATCCCGTGACAAGGTCAGTGTCTTTTGAGCGGTGACTGGGGCAAGGGGGCTCGACTGCCACCCATGGGACAAGTTCACACCTCTGGTGGCAAGTAGCCCTCCCAGGCTACTCTGTGTGTGAGTTGCCCCAGAGACGATGGTGGGAAGCTGTGGCTTCCTCCTTTTAGACTCTTAGCCTTTTGAGTGGCGCTTCTGTGTAATTTCTTCCTAAACAAACCCATATGACACTTGCAAGCCAGGGCTCCATTACCCGTGTGGTCATCGACTCAGAACTTCCTCAGGAGCCTGACCAGCAGGTAATGGGAAGCCCCCCAGGAGATTTGTTTTAACTTAGAAAAGCAAAAGTTGCGGTGGGCGTGGTGGTTCATACCTGTAACCCCAGCGCTTGGGAGGCTGAGTCGGGAAGATTGTTGAGGCCAGGAGTTCGAGGCCAGCCTGGGCAACATAGTGAGACCTCATCTCTACAAACAAGAAATAAATTAGCTGGATGTGGTGGTGCACATCTGTAGTCCCAGCTACTCAGGAGGCTGAGGCAGGAAGATTGCTTGAGGTCAGGAGTTTGAGACCACCCCAGGGACTCTGGCACGCCCATCAGTGGTCTTCTCACCTAGAGAAAAGCCCCTTGCACCTCTCCCCTCCCTCCTGCTGGACACCAGGTGAGGTCCCAAGGACTGGTGTTTGTCCTGCTGTTGGGGGAGTTCTGCTTGGCCACCACCATCCACCCTTGAACCAAAGAGTGCAATAACTTCTTCGTCTCTGGATCTAGGGCCCTGCCTGTGCCCAAGAAGGATGTTGGTAAGCCGGGCTCGGTGGCTCAGCCTATAATCCCCCGCCTTTGGGAGGCTGAGGTGAGTGATTGCCTGAGCCCGCGGGTTCGAGACCCGCCTGGGCAGCGAGACCTCATCTCTACAATAAATCAAAAAAAATGAGCCGGGCGTGGTAGCGCATGCCTGTAGTTCCAGCTACTTGGAAGGCTGAGGCGGAAGGATCGCCGGAGCCCAGCAGGCCGAGGCTGCGGTGGCCGGGAGCGGCCACTGCACTTCAGTCTGGGCGACAGAGTGAGACTCCAACTCAAAAAAAAAAGGATGTTGGTAAATGCTTGCTGGAAAGCAGAATAGAACCCTTTCTGGATAGTGAGAGCATCTGAAGGAACCTTCCTTCAAAAGTATCTTGGCTGATCTCCCCATTTTACAAAGGGTGGCTTAAGGTGGCGAGGGATAGAGCAACACCTGCCCGAGCCTTTCTGACTTGGCTAACCCATGCTGCCTTGCATATAGTCAAGGAAGCACCTGGCACCGTTGGGTCCTTCAGACACTCACAGGGCATTCAGGGCAGTGGGCCTGCCCTCCCCCTTACAACCAGGTCCATCCTGTGCCTCCTGGCTCCTGGCTCCTGGTACCGGTTTACTCTCCCTGGCTCAGTTCCCCAACTCATCATTCCTCTCTCTCGCTCTTGCTTTCTCTCTTAGTCACCTCAGGTTTACCAGGCTGGCTCTTCCCACCTCTGGCACATCATCCTAGTTGTGTCCTGGAGACCTAGTCCCCAGGGCCAGCTCCTACCCACTGGAAGAGCCAGAACCCAGCTCAATCAGGGCAGGACCCAGACACACACACTCACGTGACCAGGAGAGCCCAGTCACGAGCAACAGGACACAAGTGGGTAGCAATGGTGCACAGCTGTGACAGGCACAGGCAGCCATGCAGCCGTGGTCCCTGTTCCGTAGCAACCAAACAAAATTACATAGTGATGGATGAACTCAAGCGACCAAGGGGCACTGTGACAAGCCAGAGAACAGGCTATGGAGCAGTGGGGTGTCGTTGCATAACAATAGGCCTGAGCCACTGAGTCATGGGATGGTATCACATGCATCACACTGCAGGAGGTGCAGCCCAGCAGTGAGCACGGAGCACAGTGTGTGCCCCGTGGGCAAAGGCACAAGGCCATCAAGAACTCTTTAGTAGCCCTGGGCCACATGAGGTAGCAGCAGCGTGGTCACTGGGTGTGTGACTCTTGGACCTGTGGTCAGGGCGTGGCCACCAGCTGCAGAGCCAGGGGAAGCATGGACCCCAGAGACAGGGCAGTGCTTGTACCACGGCCAAACCATGACTGCCTCTCTTGGCTCTCAGCCCCTGTGTCCAACTGAGCCTCTTAGTGTCACCCGATTTCTGGAGTGTGTTTGTCTGTGGCTAGGCTTGTCATGCATTCCCCAGAGCCCCAGAAGCAATTTTGTCTGAGATTCCCTTTGGAGTTTCCTTTAGCTGAATAGGAAATTGGACATTTTCTGGAGAAAGAAGAATCTTGGGGATGGAGGGGGAGCGGAGGGGATGGGTCAGTGCCTTCCTGTACGAGTGCTCCCTGCTGTTCCCCTCACCTGCCGGTCCCACCCCACAGCCCACCCAGCCCATGGGGGCTCCCTACCCCAAGTGTGCCCTTTGACCCATCTTCATTCCTGGGTTGCAACCCAGCCATATCTTCCCAGTTTGGGATACCTGATTTTGACACAGAAATTTCCAGTGCCATTATGTCACCATGGTGCAACGCTCAGGTCCTGAGTGGGTCCACTGAGGTCAAGGTCAAGGGTGTGGTCTTGGTCAGGTGGAGGGCCTCAGGCAGAGGAAGAGGAAGCTCTTACTTCCCTTTGAGCAGCTCAGGAAGCCTTTTGGAAGAGGTAGGTTTTTAAGTGAGTGTTAAAGGCCACCCTGAACATGGTGACTCTCCAGACATTAAACAATCTGCAAGCATTTCTCCTCCACCCTCCAGATACTCTGAGCCCACCTCACACCAAGCTGGACCATTTCTCCTGGCACCAGATAGGGAGCAGTGATGCTGAGGTGCTCCGTGTTGCCTCTAGACAGGCCCACATCCACCACACAGGCTTCTCAAACACCTGCCACGCCACCACCTGTCAGAAAGCCAGGATGACCCACCCTGCCATATGCCCACCCCGTGTCTAACCAGGGCTGGGGAGGAGGTGGTGGGAGAAGAGGCCAAGGCCCCCAGCTCTCGAAATTTTCCAGTACACAGGAGAGGGCCATACCCCGGGAGGTATTTAGTGGCACAGAGTAGGTGCACAGTGAGTATCTGGTGAGGAATGAACAATCAGAGGGGCACGGTTGGGTCAAGGTGTCTTCTCACATAAATACACAGTCTTGTTGGGCACACCTAGTCGGCCCTTAGTAAATGGGGGTGAGGAGAGAAAGAGAAAGAAAGAAAAGAAGAAGATGAGAGGAGGAGGAAGAGGAGAGAAGGAGAGAGAGAAAAGGGGGAAGGAACAGGAGAGAGAAGGAAGGCTTCCTGGATGTGGGCTAAGCTTTGGATAAACAAAGGCAGAGGGGATCAGTCACCATTCAAGAAGTGCACATTCAGTGTTGTTTTCAGCGCAGAAATTCAAGCACAGGGTCGCTCCCTTCCACTCTGTCTCCTTCCTTCTCTCTCTCTCTCTCTCTCTCTCTCTCTCTCTCACACACACACATACACACACACACACACACACCACCTCTGTCTCTCTCTCCCTGTCTCTCCCTCCCTCTGTATGTCTCTCTGTCTCTCTCAATCTATCTCTTTCTCTCTCCCTGACTCCTCTGCTCCCCTCCTTCCCTCTGCCTTGCTCAGAGGAGATTTGTGGCAGACCAGCGGGCCCTCATACCAGGAGATGAATAATTGACAAGTGTTGTTAAAAGATTCAGTGGAGTTTTTCCAACCTCGAGCACTGGAATAACTCATCTCTTTCATTCTCTCTTTGAAAACCTCCCCCCGCCCTCCACCTGTCTCCCTGGCCCCCTGCGCCCCACCCATCTCAGCACAGGCTTTTGTTTCTCTTCCTTCCTTGAGTCTGCTGGACCCTGGCAGGATCCCACCCTGATCCCTCGATTTAAGTCCACTCCCCAGCTGCCCCCACCCCACTTACCTTCCTCCTAAAGGTGTTCGACTGACTTCAGCTGGGAGGGTCCCACTGTGTGGGTGCAGAGAAGAAGGCAGGCCAGAGAAGTTGTGGCCTCTCCTAAGTTCCACCGCAGTGGGGTGGGGAGCTCGGAGGCCCCTCCCCTCCCAGGAAGACTGAGAACTGCTGCTCTGCCCCTTCCCAGGGTGCTGGGAGCACTTGGTGTTCCTATGCCTTGATTTCTCCATCTGTAACCCAGGAGTGTGGCTTACCCTACCCTGCCTGCCCTCAAGATCAAAGAGGACAGGGAGGGGCCTCCAGAAACAGGGACCTGCCATGCCACAGAGATGCACAAACCAGGTCCTTCATGTTTTTCTGGGGTGACCAGTCATCCCTGTTTGCTCAGGACCCAGAGACAGTCCCAGGCACACCTGGATGGGGTCCCCCCACATGGCTCAGAACACTCCTCTGCTCCAGGTCCACCCCACTGGAGGATACCACCCCCCTGCCCCTTCCAGTAGCCACAGCCACAGGGCACATCTGTCTAACCGATGCCTTCCCTGCCCTCCCTCCCAGCTCTCCCAGCTCCTTGAAGTGACCTTGAACTCCCTTCCCCTCTCTGGCCCCTGTTTCTGCCTCGGTCAGCGGAGGAGGCTAGAACAGATGTTCTCAAGTCCCCTGGGGCCCCTGCACTGTGGCTGGAGCCTCCATCCTGCCCCAGGTCCACACCCTGGACTGCCTACAGCCTGGATCAGCTGGAGGCTCAGACTGGCCTCTGCTCCCTCAGCACCATCTGGTGGCAGGTGGCATGCCCTGAACCAAGTCTCCTACAGCTGCTGGCAGTTGTCACCAGAGGGGACCCAAGGCTCCCTGGACACCGCCCCCATCGGCAGCTACAAGTAGCAGGAACATGAGAGGGGTGGCATCACAAAGTCTGAAGGCCTAGAGTTGGCCCCTACAAGCAGGAGGAGCACCAAGCCCAACGTGGGAGCCAGACCACCCAGCCCGAGAGGGCAAGTCCCTTCTGGGACCCAGATCCTTAGAAACCCCAAGAGGCAGAGAAAACACGAGAAACAGAGAGAACCAGAGAGAGCAGAGCCATCCGGTACCACCTCAGCAGCCTCCACACAGAT